CCGCGAAGATCTGCTAAAGGCAACAGATAGGGGCATAGTGGTGGCTGCTTACCGGGCAAAATAAATATTTTTACTGGTTTTTGGCATTGACTCGATAAGAAGAATAAAAATTTATTATAGCCTTCATTCACTGTTTACGCAGTCGTCCTTCCTAGTCGATGACCTTTGAGTCGACCGGTTCAGTCAACACTCACACGTCAATGAAGCGCAAGATTTGCCGAAAACAGCGCCGCTGGTCGTGAGACTGTTCAGGAGAAACCGAGACAGTCTATTACGCGCACATCGTTACGTTGCGTTACGACGACCGCCCAGTTACCACGCTTTCATGTACATTAATGGCGAATCCGAATTCTATTTACTAGGCAACAATATTTAAATTCCTCTAAATAATACAACCGCGTCGTCGCCGGGCGGTCGCCGCGTAGATCAAATTCAAGCCAGTCTCGCCCGCGCGCCCGGGACGCTCATTTAAATTAAAACGGAAAAGCAAAACGTGTAGAGCGCATTTTGGCATGACAGTTAGACACACGCGGTTGCGGCGGCAACGCGGCCTCCGCGCGGGGTGAGCGTGATAAAATTCGTGTTGAATACGATGTGATGCATGTGGTCATACGATGACCACGTGCATAACCGCACATCAAGAATGTGGATTGTAAGGGCGCATTTAACTGTCATGCCAAAATGCGCTCTATTTTATGTTAGGCGTTTTTCCCATCTGCTCTTCATACGTGTTAGCATGCCTTTAAAGATTTTGTCGTTCAATGTCCGTAGATATCGTGAACCTACCTTAAAAAAAAATTTTAATTGGTAATGTCATCTGGGTGGTGTTCTGCGTAAATGAGTCCCACAAAATAGTAAAATGACTTAAGAATGCAGTCTTATAATACACAGTGCTTATACCTTGGAACATGAAGTTTAGAGGTAGACCTGAGAGATGTCCTTAACAATGTCAGGTTACAAGTTAGCTGGCAAGTATAGATAAGGAGGCAAAAGAGGTTTTGTCAGGAGCATAGCAAGAGTTTCATGATGTCTGCCTACCCGTGTAGTAGACAGGCGCGGCGGAATGTATGCATGCTGACCTAATTGATTCTTGTACTGTTTACTTTATTTGTGATCATGTTTTGCAGCAGTCAAAATGTTTGTTGACATTTTTATAAGAATTGTAAAGTTTGTAGTCTGAACACAGTAGGTGTATGTTCATCCGGATTATGAAGAGTACCTACTGATCTAAGACTGAGACTGATTTTTTTAACGCACACACTCAACCCTGCGTCGCGGGTGCCATGGGCACACACATAGACAACCACAAATAAAGAGAGAAATAAATACAGGTCATAGAGTCGTATTCCAGAACTCTACTCAATGCTCTAGTCAGGATTTGAGCAGACTTGAGTAGGATTTTAAGCACTGGAAATACGAACCTAATAGCAAGGACTTGAGTGTGATTTCTAGTGCTTTGAGTCATACTCAAGTCTTGACTTGAGCATTGAGTAGAGTTCTGGAATACGACCCATAGTCATGCAGGTCATAAGGCCAGGGCAAGGTCAGGTGACCTCTGTGTGACAGACGAGCATAATAATCATTCGGCCACGGAGGAAGTTAAAATTTAAAAATGCTTTTAATTGGTCTAATAATAACTGATCAGTGTGAAAATGTGATTTCTCAGTGTTTGCAAGCATTAAGCGACACTCTGAATATATTTTTCAGTCTTATATAAAAATGGGTTAACCACGCTTGACATATGACATGTTGATGTATCGAATTTTGCATAAACCATTTTTATGTACATACTAACCATAAGTTTAATAACTTAAAAACGTAATAAACTGATTGTAATGCTTATATTACTACAAATGTTTTGATATAATAATGTCTCTAAACTTCATTATTTAAAAGAGTAATGGCAACAATTTGTCAAAAACTTCAAAACTGACATTTTGTGGTTTAAACAAATATGCAGAACTTGGCGGAATTGTGAAAGACAGAACAAGCCAATAATAAATAAAGAAGAAGAATATGCAGAACACCGTCCACGTCACTCTCATAGAAAAATGTCATATAATTTATTATGAAGAGGCTGTATGGTGGAACCTTTGCCTACCCTAATAAATAGGTGAAATTTTATAAAAACTACTTTTATACACAAATAATACTATAAGAAAGAGCCGATAAAATGACAGAAACAATAAATTTATTGTGTAGATCATAGATAGAGTCATTCGCTCTGGACCTTTTGGAGGGAAAAGCGTCGTCTTTATTTTGACTTTCAATTATTTTGTGAATTCTAGTTTAAAGTGGAATAGGATAGTGCTATTGTGCCTTAATCGAAGATTAAAACGCGAAATTATACGAATCTCGAACTAAAATACCCGTATCGGCCCGTTTTAAGGAATCCCGAGTCAATCCAAGCACGCCGCCTCAAATTGCCTATCCTCTTTGTGGCGGCCATGTTTACAGAAACATAATTAATTAAACTTCATGTTTAGGCTGATGACTTTGCCAAAGCCTTAATAAACTAAAAACAAAAAAATCATAGATAGAGTGATTAATTCTCTTTGGAGTGATTCAACGCAGTCGAAGATTAATAAGAATAATAATAAAATTAATAATAATAATGTTAACATTACTGTTTATTTGTCCACAAAATACAAATTGGAAGCAATGGCGTTTCACGGAAAATGTAAGAAATATAAAAATTCTAAATGTGTAAAAATTCTCGATACAAAAGTTCAAAAAATTGCCGATCCCGAAGGCTTTACTTTAGATTTGCAGACCATCAGGTTACACTGGCATTTGATGCCAAGATAATTCGTTACTTAAACAATGTCCTGGTCATAGTATCAGAGCAACACCAGAGTAACAGTTAGGGTTTTTATCTCAGCCTTTCCGCGTCTCGGGAAATAATTGAGACTCGGTGCGCTGACAGCAACGAGACTTTCGAGACTATTTCTGAAGTAGATTTCAAAACTTATGGCCCATGCATTCAGGCAGTCAAAACATGAATTTTAATGAACTTCTTTACTTAACTCAAATTATAAATAAAAAAAATATTTATAGTTTCTTCATTATTGAAGTGGACTCCTAAAAAACAAAGGGCGTGTAACTTTGATTCTTATAGAGTGGATCTAATTGTATTAGGTACTGTTCACAGATTAAGTGTCCACTCTACTGTATTGCCATGTCCATTTAACCAGAATAAAAAAATACTGTTGGTTTAGTAGAGACTTCAGTCTCGAAAGTCTCGTCCCGAGACTAAAACAGCCAACAAACGCGAGAAAAAGTCCTGAAGAAATTTTCGAGTTGAGACCCAGGTTTTCCGTATGAACGCCCTTGTAGCAATAGTATTGGGAAAGTCCATAATCTTATACTTATCTTATACTTGGCTTCGTTTCAGGCAGAATCGCACGAGTATAAGACATGTCTGCGGTTTTGACTCCATTTCTTGTCGTGTTTCAACTTTTACTATACAGTTTCGTAAGTTTTCATTTATCCACCATTAAACGTTTACTTTTAGACGTATTTTCTTTATTTCACATAATTAATAAACTACTTAGTGCTTACAAGAATAAAAACAAAAATAGTTTGACTTCAGCTTCGCGTGTGGATACAGTGAGTGTGGTTTGTCAGAAAAAAGTGAGTGGCAATTGTAACGCCGCAAGTAATCGAGATGAGGGTAGTCGTCGACAGCGAAAGAGGGTAGACAGTTAAGTCTCTTCTTAAAGCTGTCATCTGCCGCTGGCTAGTCAACCCGTGACCATGGAGCGTGTAACCGTTCTGAAATATCGGGAAAATAAAAAGTAATCATATCGTGTTATGAAACTTGTAATTAGTGATAACCATCTTTAGTAAACGAATCGCCGTTGAAGATCAGATTAAGCTCCGCTGCATACGCAGTCCGCAGAATACGTGAGCTTACCGATGTTAGTACTGCTAGACTAGTTTAGTTACTTCCGTAGTATAATGTCCTACGGGATTCTCATGTGGGGTAAAGCGGCAGATATTCAAACCATATTTGTATTGCAAAAACGAGCGATTCGTTCTGTGTACCGTCTAGGCTCTCGGGTTTCTCTCAGAGAAAAGTTTAAGGAGACTGGTATCATGACTGGCATCACAGTACATTTACTCAAATATTTTATTATTTATAACAGTCCCTGGAGTCTCATTTCTATGTCTACTTGGGAAACCTTTTAATAATTGTATTTAATATTTTGCACCAGATCTGGACAGTCAATCAGATTGTGACAATGTCTGCTGTTACAGCTTGAAGAAGCATTCGTCTATAATGAAGTGTTAGTATATAGTAAGTTCTCGTATGGGAGTACTTCATGATTTCTTCTAAATAATTTATAATTTACTGACTTTAGCTTGAATTTTTTTCAGTTTGTTCTGAGTATTTATAATTACGTAATTTTCATATTCAATTTCGTGAAACTACTTTTAATTTTGGAGTACATAACTTGAGTTTATTTATGATATAATAGTGAGTTAAATGATCTAGATCACGTTCAAGTACAGTCAACATCACTTGTATTGCTTCTAAAAATTTTTAAATCATCATGTAGAAGAAAATTTGTGTGCCGAAAACAAAGTTTAAGTCATTTATAAATATAATAAATAATAACTAGGATTGATTGTATATGAAATTTAAATAATAATGGCGTTTTTGTTATTTATAAAAAGCCTTAAACATTTTTCCGTATTCATTAGTAGCAGTAGAGCTCCTCGTGCAAGAGTTCGTCCAGGGAAGTACTGCCATCATACCTATTTCTACCGCCAAGCAGTAATGTCTACGTTTCGGGTTGTCGAGAATAGGCTGGCAACCTTATATCCAGAGTCATGGGCGTAGCGGCAGGGTCCCACAGACCTTTGCGATTGACGCAGATAACTTGTTCGCCCTCTTACTTAAATATAAAAAATGTCACAGTGATAGTTAGAACTGCTCTCTGAGAGGTTAATTCGGGAAAATATTGGATAGATATAATTAAAATCATTGACAGCGATAAATAAATAATTTTATTCATGGTTTGTTTTTCAACTGGACCAAGAGGCTTTGTCGGCAAAGTCGTGATACCGCGCCGTCATCCTTCCGGCGCAATTTGGCAGCTAGGCGGGCCAGGCTGAAGCGTGACCGAGATTTGTTTTGACGACGACCGCCTGAGAAAATTTGAAAAAACAAGAAGGATTTGAACTCATTTTAGGCGAGGAAGATATTCAAGAGATAAAATACAATTATTATCTAATTTTTTTAAACTTGATTATTGGTTTACGTACCGCCGTGCCAAGACAGAGTATAATATAGTATATAACCAGAAATAGAGACGAAGTAAGTGCCATCAACGAAGTAACTGCCTCCGTGGCCGAACGGTTACCATGCCGGACTGCCAAGCAGAGGTCCCAGGTTCGATTCCCGGGCCGGGAGAAATATTGTATGGCCTACAGTTATTTCTCTCGTGAGTTTGGGTGTAATTTGTGATTGTCTATGTGTGTGTCCATGGCACCCGCGACACAGGGTTTCCCTAGTGCGGGGCTATGTTGAGTGTGTGCGTTATTATTATTATTATTATCGATCCCTGGCAACTCATCAGGCAAATGGACCTTATTACACTTTTAAATATCAACTCGCGTTTGCGCTGAAATCACAAATTAGAAAGTTGAAATAGTACAGCGCCAACAACTAGCCTGGGTGTACGTCTCCGTATATTCCAAAAGTAAGTATTTATTGTAATAAAGATAATAATCTCTAACAATGGGGGACTGTACCATTCGGTGGTGAAAAGTAGCAAAACATCTGCTTACAAAACAAACGGAATCACATTTCATCGGTAATTAAATATGTAGTTTCGTTCATTATAGCAAAGCTCAAGTTAAACTGGTCGATTTGAAGTGAAACAATTGACGACTCCCGTCAATTGTTTCGAATTCGGGCTGGCCTATCGGAGCGCAGTTGCCATCGTAATGATTTGGCAGAATAATTTTCAAACAAATTAAATGACATTTCGTCTCTATTTCTGGTTATACAATGTGTCGATTTACATTCTCGCCATGTTTACAGAGGTCATCCTATACCCGAAACTGTACCCAAATCACTAAAAAAATAAATCGAAAACAAAATTTCGTAAATTCCTATTTTTTATTTAATTGCGGTAAACAATGATCCGAAGGTCATTGACAACATTTTGTACAATGACCTTAAATGCGCAGAAAGTAACGCATTTAGTATTTATTTGGTGGTGGGGTACGGGTAGCGACAGTGGGGGAGTGTCGTATCGAGCATGCGATTGGTAGATCAGTCGACCTTGCTTCCCGTACTGCGTTTACGTCACGCTCACCTCCTATATACATTCTATTCTAGTCTGTCACGAAATGCCACGTGGTTTGGTATGTAAACAAGAGTTAGTAGTGCAAGAAAGAACCGCTACCAGGTTCACCAGAACCTGCAACCATCAAGTACAAGTGCGTGCAAGTCTATTCTTATGGCATGACGTGAAACGTTTAGTTTACGCGGAGGATACGAGTGTCGAAGTTTGTGCTTTCAAAGTTGTGGAGTCTAATATTGAAACAAAACTCACGTGAGAATCTCTGCATCGCTGGTGGTGGCTCTGGTACAGAACCAGCCAGCAGCTGTGGAATTAGGTACTTCTAGCAATACTTTCATGTAACATAAAGTTGGTAAGCACCAAACCTAAGTTACAAAAAGCTTTTTTTAGTCAACTTTTCTAATTAATGTAAATAAATAGTAAATTATAACAATACTAGTAATAAACATAATTTAAAAAATAGGTAAATAAGCGATCGGTGAAGCGGGTAGCGGGGTCACTGCCCTTGCGTGGTGCATGCGACTTGAGACAATTTTGCAAAACTTTACTAGATACAATTAACCAGAATATTGAACAGAATGGTTTTTTAAATATTTTTAGATGATTTAGCATTATTTCTATTATTAATTTCTTAAACATGGCGAGAATGCAAATCAACACACTGTATACTCGATGCCCTAAACTAATTTTATTTTAGAGTAATAAATGTTATTATAACATTACTGGAGATGGACTTGGTATTGAAATTACTTTATTGGAGTCCACCAAGTATGGTGACTAATTCTGTATACACACGTACTACACGTATCCAGAATTGGTCCAGAAACTTTTTTCGATTTTAATGCATAGGTATAAAGCATTGTCTAACAACTAAACAGGTTTAAAATGTAGTTTGGTGACCAATTCTGGATACGTGTAGTACGTACGTATCCAGCATTAGTCACCACATTCTGGTTACGTGTAGTACGTATCCAGAATGGTCATCTCACATAGCGACTATGAAGAAACGTCTTTTTCGCTCGTAATGTATGGGTATAAAGTTTTGTCTAACCGGCATAAGCCGATACCGCATTAATAAGTCTGAGTGTTACCCCTAGGATGTAAATATGAAGACGTTTCATCTACTGAAACAATACTCTGCTCTACTTACCTTCTGCTACACGTTGCCAGGACTCTTTATCCACGTTAACCATTCCCGTAGACGCGCTTCGTCCTAGCCCCGACTCCTGCGCATTAGAACTTTGGGACTCCGTGACATCACTTTCGCAGCTAATTCTACTCGATCTGATTCATAATATAAACAGAAGAGAAAATCAGACGCCATAAAACTTATTGTCCACAACTTGAAAAGGCGTTGATGGAGGAAATGATCCAGCCTTTAAGTTTTTTGAATAGTTTTATGATGATATTAAGTTGTAAGTACAATGGTGGCACTTACCTGTCTCCTGGTCTAAGGTCACTGGTAGAACTAGTTCCTTCTCTTCTCATTTGCACTGTTGGTGAAGATAAAAACCTTTCTCTGGCAGCTCGAATCCTCGCCGTCCTGTCCGAAAGTTTAGCTGCTGCAGAATGGTCTTCGATTCTTGATATCGATGACTCTACATTCGATATGGACCTCTCGAAAAAGCTTGGATGTTGTTCCATGAATTTCGCTATAGTTGGGACTATTGTATCAGATATTTGTCTCAAAACTGGTGGGGGGGCAGACGTTTGATTGGCTTGAGGCAAATCTTTGGTCAAATCTGGCACAATAGTATCAGTACTCGCTGTATTATATTTTATTGTCTCTTGGCTTTGATCTATTTTCTTCATTGGCTGTGGGGAGTCTAATTTTTTCTCGGGATGTAAAGCGTTTGCACTGTGAGATTTTAACACTCCGTCGAAACCTTGTTGCACAACTGGTTCAAGACGCTTTTCGACAGATGTTTGGTCGCGTCGGGATAGTTGGCATGCACTTGCGGATTTCTGGACCTCCCTTTCCAGGAATGGGTTGTTTCTAGAAAGAAAATCAATAGTTTTATAGATAATTCTAATAGATGTGCTCATCCTCAATTTAAAGAGGTTTACCTAATATTAACACCAACAGGCATATCGGGAGGTCTTCTTCTTTCAGATATAGGAGATCTCCAAGCAGGAGATGATGCTCCACTACTGTTGCCAGAGGTGTGACCTAAAACATACTCACCTAAGAATACTGATTGGTTTCAAGAAAGAAACAATAAACTTGAAATACCCAGTCTACGTCATTATTGCAGCTCTTACCTTCTTCGTTAATCTTCATATTATACCTCTGTATCATTATACGGATTGATGGCGCAGTTTCTTTAGGCTGAGGTTTCCTCTGTGACGACGGTGACGAAGGCAGCGGAGGCCTGCTTCTAGGTCTCTGTTCTTCACTTTCTTGAAGATCACCAGAACTCTTTGACCTTGAGTATAACTCTTGTTTTCCTTTATCAGAAGTATTTTCAGATTTCTTTTTAGATATTGAGCTGTGACTGTGATGACCTTTGTGGCCTGAAGAAGGTGCAACGTCGTCTAGATCTTCCACATCTACTGGTATAACGGCTCGAGGTACTGATTCTCCACTTCGTACTACCGGTGAGAATATTTTTCTAGTTGTCTTAACAATTACTTCAGGAGATCCTTCTCGATGCTCTGGTGCTTTTAGCTTAAGTACAAATACCTGTAGAAGAATGAAAACTTATTTTATCTTAGTCTTTTTTCTGTTATAAACTTATTGGATAACATTGAATTTATTATTAGCGTACCTCTTCTTCTGAATCTGAGTGCAAAGAAATAGGTGGTGTCCTCGGTCTTTCCGAAGCACGTCTTGGTCTTTTTCTTCGTCTAGGGATCTCCACAGTAACAGTATCTACATCAGGTTCAGTATCAGTTTCTGATGGTTTTGACTGTTCTCGCTCTAATCGAGCTCTGGATTTAGATTTCTTTTTACCATTTCCTTTATCAGCATCTTTTCGTTTGCTATCATCTTTTAAATCATCATCCATTTCCTTGCCTTTGCTCTCTATGCTGTCATTTAGTTTTGAATTTTTGCCCATGCAACTTTTACTCGTAGATGGCATTTGCCGATCATCTGTTTTATTAAATATATCTTTGGTCTGAAAACTTATTGGATCTTTGAGACGACTGGAACTACCTCTTTCGATTTCTTCAATAGTTTTCCTTATAAACATTGCATCTTCTTCAATACTGGGTTGTCTTGTAATTTTCTTTTTAATCTTTTCGGTCTTCGGCTGCAATCAATGATTTGCCTGATTGAAACTTGATTAGATGTTTTAATGTATTATTTTTTGAAAAAAAAAAAATCACAATTTAGAATTAAAAGTAAATACCTGGTTGCGGGATGATTTTGGTTTGGCTCCTTTTGATTTAGCTCTACGAGGATCTGAAAGAATAACTGTAGAAATTATGAAACAGGTTTACGATTATGTTGAATCATCATGACGACACCTATACAATGAGAAATAATAAGTTCTTGAATTTAACTTCAAACATTTTATTTAATGAGTGAATAAGCTTCTTCTAGGTGGATGTACATCTTCGTATAGTTCTTTCCTTAGTATTAGGTGAGATGTAACGAAACTTGAATCTATCCTAAACAAGTACATTTTTTTTAAATGTGTGAGCACGACCTTTACTTTGACTCGCCAATTGTTCCAGAAAAGGTGTTGTTACACGGACGTATTTAAAAAAAGCCTTTATAATTCAATAATTAAAAAACTAAAATCCTCTTACCTGCTCCATTTGGCTGTAAAACAGCAGTTCCCGTAACGGCAGCGTTGGTTTCACACAGTAAGCGTGCTTCCGCCTGACCATACGTATAAACAGGTTTTTGCGGAGTATGACGAGGAGATACTGCTACCAGAGGCGCTGCGGTGCAGACTTCTTCGGCTTCTACTTCTACTAGAACTGCTCCTCGAGTCTGGTCGCCTTCACATTCGTCAGCATCCAGCTGTAATAGTTCGCAAATTAATGGTATATATTATGTAATCGATACTTCAGGAAAAAAGAGCGTAAAAAGCAAGTCACAAACTTTACAAGGTGAGTGAACAACAAGATTTCATAAAGGTTCACATATATATTATCGTCATCAAAAGCTATTTTTGGTACAATTTGTTAGTTTGTTATTGCTTAATTAATTTTGCAAATTTAAACAGCGATTGTCTGATGTTTAAGTGAGATAGAAAAAAAATCAACGAGTTATTCCAAGATGCTGATTACCTAGAAGGTAACTACGAATAAGAAAAGGACATTTTCAGGTAGGCTTTTGCACCGCATTGGGATATAGACGCTTGTTAACGAATGCAAAATAAACTTACAGAATTATCCCTTTCATATTCCGAATCAAAGTCATCAGCGTCGTTGACACTGAGACTTGAAGCGTGAAGACGTCCAGAGCCGGCAGCGGATGGCGCTACACTCCCGTCAGATTGCGTACGCGTGAGTGGCGTGGGGGGCGCCTTTCCTCTACCCTGGGCTCGTGCCGCCCGGAGCAATGCCGATGTAGAATATTCAGGTGCTATTCCTCGGGATTTTTCCCATTCGTGGAGCTTTCGTGTGAAGGAACGAGAAATTCCTGATAAACAGAAATTTATATGTCTTATCAAAAGTTAAGTATATAGTAGTCACTAACATTATAGTTAAAAACGAAAAATTGAACCTTGTAGATACAGTTGTATTTTTAGGTATATCTTTAGCTAAATTTACTATGGGGTCCACAAATAAGTAATTTATCGTATCTGTGATCACCTCATATTTTAGACGCAGAAACCGTTAGCTTGGTTTACTTCAGCTGCTTTCACAGTTTAATGGCATACGGTCCATGACCTTATATTGCACATGGCATTTTGCTATGGGATAATGCCGCTAATTTTAATAGAATCTTTATTTTTTAGAATCATTATCTTTATTACAATACGGGCTCCAGAGCGTCTTGAATGATAAGTTTAAAGATTTTATTTATGAAAATGTAATTTATGTTACGAAGAATAATAGTATTTTTTATGAAAATTAGTGACAATCATTAATACAAGTTATTAAGATAAACTGATTTCCAGTCTTCACTTGTAGCTGTAATAGTAATTGAGGTGCACGAAAGGAGTCTTCCCACACGACATACCATTCGTCTCATGTACATCTGGCGCACTCAGGGCAACAATAGGCGAGTAAGATACGGCGATTGGCCGACCACGATGGCAAACATTATAGTGTAAGCCATGGATATAATAAGAAAAAGAATGTCGTAGTCATTAGTACAATAGGTTGTAATGTAAGCCAATCGGTGTTTATAAAAAACGATAAAGTCTACTAGTACTAAAAGATTATTTAGATCTCTTCAGAAGAATCTTTAATCAGAATTATCAGCCTCGTAGCTCGACTGCACTGTCAGGCTCTTTTTGGTGACACAGTACACTCTACACCTGACACAACATAACACTCCAGACCATATCCGCAAACCAAGACAGAATCGAGTATATAACCAGAAATAGAGACGAAATGTCAATTAATTTGTTTGAAAACTATTCTGCCAAATCATTACGGTGACAACTGCGCTCCGATTGGCAAGCCCAAATTCGAAACAATTGACAGGTGTCGTCAACTGTTTCACTTCAAATCGACCAGTTAACTTGAGCTTTACTATAATGGACGAAAATTGAAAAATTACATATTTAATATTTAATTACCGACGACATGTGATTTATTTTGTTTTAAAAATTGCCTATTTATTAAAATTATTTACGCGATTCCGAATATTTGATACAGTAAAAAACAACAACAGAGAATTTAGAAAAAAAAAATAATAATTTTATTATAATTACCCAATATTAAATAAATAATTGTAATTTCAAAGTCCAACAAGTCTTTCATTTACATTACAATCCTTGTACAATCTTAGCGCATTCGGTTCCGCACGGCGGGCAACGCAATTTTCACCTCTCTTAGCGCACGCTTAGATTCCTTTTTCCTGGTAGTGAGCGCCTGTCATTGGACATATTTAGTAGGCTATTATAGCGTAGGTTTTTGCGATTTTGTGTGAGGGTAATATATCTGTTACGTAGTAACTATTAAGTAATAATCTGTGCCTACGTGGATATCACTACTGCTGTGGGTAGCGAAATCATTGATTTATTATGTCACCTAATCGCCACAAACCGCGGGCTGTGCGGAGGGTTTATTTTGCCACTGCTACCGCGAGTTCTTGCTATGTTCGAGTATTACTTATGTGACAGTAATTGTTTCGGTCGGATGTCGAACGGTGAACGGGGAACGGTAGACTCCCTGTTTCGAAAAGTAAGCGAAAAGATATCGCCTAACTGGACGGTATGGCGCGGTATACCAGTTTCCTTATAGTCGCGGAACTTTATAAAAATACCCGACAGGATACCGCGCGGTATTTTTCGCTATCCGCAGTGGTAGCGAGTATCGCTTATATCTGAACAGGCCTTTAATTGTAAAAATAGAAATTAAATTTAAATTTACCCTGGAATTTGAACAGGCCCGTGGAAGTTTGTACGAGAACTTCATCAGGTTTCGCTTCTTCCTCCCATGCTGGAACGGAGTTTGTTTCTTTCATACGTTTCCATTCGTCTGAAAGTAAAGCGTTAAAGACAAAACTGTTCATGTTAGAAGGGTGCACCTTTTTATTTTTTTACATTACCAATTTTTTTTACATACTATATTAATTTATATAAGTGCCTCAGTGGCCGAATGGTTACCACGATGTCGCGGGTTGTCAATAAAGTGCATCTTAATTAGATTTCTTTAATGAAAATTGGATAGATAAAACTAGAAAACAGCAATCTAGTAAGTCAATGTAGGTAGGTGATAAAATAATCGGTTAAACAGGTGCCAAACCAGAAATGTAATATATTTTTCGAAGCAAATTAATTATCTAGTCGTTAAAAAAATATTTTTCTTAGTTTTTCTTAGTTGTTACTCCGTATTTTGTTTACATTTGCATAATTATTTTGTTACGAACTCTAAGGTAAGAACTATCCGAATCAAAATTGCTTTTAAAATAAATAAAAAAAACCGCTCTAAAATCTTTTCAAGCGTTTGGGAGCTACAATGCCACAGAATGCAAATAGATACACAGACAAAGGTTTCAAAGTATAATTCCCCTTTTTTTGCGTCGGGCGTTAATTAAATGTCCAATGGGATACTAAAGTATGAGACCTTATTTTGTTGTAACACGTTGGCAGTCTACTTTGAAAACTACCATGAAAATAAAAAACAAAGTAAAATACTTGTATGGGCTTGTACGCAGAGAAAGACTTGCAACGACAATGGTAAAAGTCTATAGTACGTAAAATACAGATACTATGGTGGCAAATCTTTCCTTGATGTAGTGTATCGGTGGACAGTTGGTAACGTACTACGTAAAATAAATTGTGAATCACGTATTTAAGTTTATTGCGACACGTGGCTAAAGTAGATCGCCACGTGCGCAGAGTTGTACCGAAGAATGTATGAGACCATACAGTACTTGGCTGTTAAGTTATTGTTTAGTTTGTGTAAGTAAAAAGAAAGTACAACGTTTTGCTTCATTATTGCTTAATAAACAAAATTATATATTGAAACTCGTTATAAATTACTTATTTGGAATTTTATAAAAACTAACTGAACTTGACACAAAATGTCGGAAAAGATTCTGAAAAAAATGCTTTCATGCTTTGTGTACTAAAAAAACCTAAAATATCGCACAATGTTCTAGAAAGTAATATTTTGACAATATGGGCTCTTCTGAAAAATTACCCACGTGTCGCTCACTTTCTTTTTGCTTAGAGCAGGTGAAACTCGTAGAACTTTCTGGGTCACCTGGGTTACGCCAGCTGCATTTTACTTACTTCATGGAAGATAAAGTGAAACAGTATTAATTTACTGGAAAATGGTGCTATGGTGGTCGTTAATTTTGGAAAAACATTGGTTCAGCTTTGAAAATTAATTTGTGGTATAGGTTTTCTTACCCCACTTCTTAAGAAAGTCCTCGCTTAGATCCTTTCGGGCGGGTGCGGGTGGGGGCTGTCTCTCCCCTTTGATACGCTGCCACTCCGCCAGCTTCTTCCTGAAATCAGCTGACAGCTGCTCCTCGGTCGCCACAGGCCTTGTCGCTGTAATAAGGATTTTTAGTACATCATCGTCAGTTGGAAGACGTTTGCTGCGAAATATACAAAGACAAGAAATGTTTGAAGAAATTTCCAAATCGTGGTCATCATTCTCAAGTTTGCGAGTGTAAAATTTTACATCTGTACTTACAAGCATATAGCTTGCCTCGTCGGTCGGAAAACTCCCGACCCAATCTCGTCTGCAACGCCGCGTAGTCCCGAGCTATCTCCTCGCGGAACCCGCTCGCCTCGCACCCACTACTCAGGCCTTCGGTTTCTGAAACATCGTTTAAACAACATAAACAGAGGTACGCTCAGGCGTACCGTACTGCGGTCATAAAATATTAAAGAGTACGCCCTTCGAGGTCAAACCTTTTTGTTATGTTCTGAAAGTAAACCAGCATTTGATCATCATACTTGAAGTGAGTTTATGCGATATTTATTTTGGATATTTAAAGTGGTTTTTCACCGGTACGCGAGACGAGACGAGGCGAGAAGAGAATTGAAATCTCACCGGCCTATGTCCACTAAAAATTGCCATTAACATCTCGCGCGAGCTCGCACTGTGGTTGTGGATAGTAAAGATTCAGTGTTCTTAAGCTCTTCTAGCGATAAACACGCGGTTGAAGTTACATGTCTCGTAAAATATTATTATTAAATATGTTAACCGAAGAAGAATCAGATGAAGCCTTCTTTTTACATCTCAAATCGTACGTACCCCACAATCTCGCGATTGATAATAACGGACATCGCGAGCTCGCGCGAGATCGTTCGGCCACTCGCAAGCTCGCGCGAGAAATCGTGTTTCCATTGTAGAGAAAAATTAGGCAGCAATACGGCTCAAAATTACATCAATAAATATTTCAGTTCTCGCCTCGCCCATCCTCGTCAATCCAGACTATTGCCACCGAAGATACTCTAGATGAGAATTTAAATTTTTCCATACTTTCAATCCACGTCTCCCTCGCTGGTGGAAAAGCGCCTTTATCCACGGGCATATTCTCTACCTATTATGCATATGTATTAGCATGCCTCCATAGATTTGGTTGTTCAGTGTCCAAAAATGTCGCGACCAACTCCTTTTTAAAAAAAAAGTAACTTCTAAATGTCATTTGCAATGTCACCCTCATTCAAAATTATCGTATAAATATACAAATTTTGTACATAAGTATTAGTTAAATTACGAAACAATCCACAAAATGACAGAAACAATAAAATTATTATGTAGAACTTAAATTTGCTATAGTGATTCAATGCAATTGAGGTGGATTGGGAGCAATTAAACAGCGGTTGACGGAAAAATGTAAGAAATGTGAAAATGTACAAAAATTTCCGCTCTTAAGGCTTTACTTAGATTTGCAGACTATCAAGTTACACTGGCATTTGACGCCACGATAATTCGTTACTTAAACAATGTCCCATTCATGGTACCAGAGCATTGCCAGATTAACAGGGTTTTTAGTCGTAGACTTCAGCGTCTCGGGAAATAAATCGAGACTAGGTGCGGTACTCGAAAATGTCGAGGACAACGAGACTTTCGAAACTATTTTGAAAATAGGTTCCCCAAACTTATAGCCAAGGTAGTCAAGTCAAGGTAGTCAAAATATTATATTTTATGAAACCAAAAAAATATCAAAGGTATCATTTATAGCAGGCACTTAAGAAACAAATAGCGTTAAATATAGTTTCGGATAGAGTAGATCTTATTAATTATTACTATCGTTCTTTAATATCCACAGCTTGAAGCTCCACTCTCCAGTGTTGCCATGTTAGGAAACCAGGATAAAAAATGGCTATTAGTTTACTGGATTTATTAACACTATCATTCTGAAATTACCGTCTAGTACTGGAATGAAATCTCGTAACAGTATTACTGGGAAAGTCCATAATCTTAATTTTGGCTTGATTTCAGGAGGCACCGTACGAGTAGAGAGAGTCATGTCTGTGGTTTTGAATTTAATCATATTAATTGTCATCCTATTTTTGATATTCAGTTTCGTAAGTTTTTATATTAATCTCACTAGATAACGCTTAGTTTTTGACATTTGTTCCTCAAGTTTATAAAATCTTGTAGTTTTAATAAATCTTTTTTAACCAATTGCATTAAAAGGAGGTTCCCATTTTGTGTGTATGTTACGGTTTTTTTTAAGCGAGAAGTTAAATATCGTTTTCGATTATTGTTTTTTTGTTGGAAATTAGTACCTCGATGTTGGTCCCATTTAAATTTGAAAAAAATATTAACGACCACTAAGGGTCGCAAACTAGGGGATGAATCCAATTTCACGCACCGACCGAAAAGTAACCGATCACAATAAACCTTGGCAAATAGATTTGTAATTGCACAACTTTTTGAGTTTGTTTCTTTTTATAAAAATGTCACAATATTAAACTGTATACTGTACTATGGCACTGCATGAACCTTTAAAAACGCCCCAATATGTTGTACTGTATGTGGACTTTTTGAAAACTTCGGTGGTCGAGTCACTTGCGCACCGATTTTCATGGTGTCGCCATCTCTAAGGTCTCGGGTTCGATCCCCGGTCAGGTCAATGTAGAAAAAACTAACTTTACTTTATCTAACTGTGTATTTGTGGTACCGTAGTTTGTTTACGATTTCCTTAACACAAGTACTTTAGTTACTTTCTTTGGGGTCAGAGCAACGTATGTGATATTGTGTAATATTTATTTATTTTGTTTAGGAAAAATTTTATGAGTAAAGATGACAGTGGCTACTTGGATGCCACAATATGACATGTTTTGAGAAGTATATTGCATCGCGTTTTTATCGAATTTGTATCGCGTTTGCATCGCATTGAGAGTGAATACCTCGTATGTTTTTTTGTACTGTAAAGTGCTATATTACTTGAGCAAGAAGTTTGTTTTTCTTCAACAAAAATCAGCAAAGACGAACTATGTGAAAGCGCGTATGCGAGATTTTCATTATAAGTGCGATCATATACAGTGCCTGTATTATTTTCAGTTTATGTATAAAAGGCAAAATAGAATAACGGCTTTACTTCTACGTGATGCCTGGTCAAACGCAGGCAATCGTTGTGGTTTGAAGTGCTGTACCAACTGTAGGTACAGTGTGTTTAGAAGCTCCTCTCCAACAGATACAGCCTTGATTCTAGCACAGTTTGCGGGGCTTGTGCTAGCCATCATTTAGAAAATGCTTTACAAGAAGCATTTCTTATTCGCAGCTCGTCAGGCGTGGCATTGACAATTCTCGCGACGGCACCCAAATGCATGACCGCTGCATTCACCCGAATTGTCCGTGCCATTATTTGGAGTACGTGCCACGGTAAGATCAGATCTATAATTTGTGACGTTTGTACGCTTAGAATTCACGGAGCGATTTTCATCGTTGCTTGACCGCGGCCTCCGTAGAATGTCAGTTTAGTAACACATTTCACGACGCATTTTGCGCCCTTGGCAGGGACTGTTACCGCGCTAGTAGAACCCCCCGGGGCGCGGTCATCTGCGCGTTTGGCGGTCGACGCCCGCGCACTATACGCATCGCATCGGTCGGTCGGTTCGCCCGCGACGATCTCTATCGATTGTAAATAACCGCACAACTTGCGATCATCTCCCGCCAAATTTGCGGGCTGTCCCGCAGCCACGGCGAGCGCTCCTTGAGTTCTTAGTTTTAGTATGTCAACAGCGGTCATTGACCCGACTTTCATCCCGAAATCACAATTTGACAGCGACCTATCGCCAATCTGTCGCAATTTTGACTTCGTTTGAGCAACATAATAAAAGCCAGTAATATTTAACTGCCTGTGGTTTTCAACAGATTTTCAACATTGACTTACATTTATATGGACGTCGGGTCCGCGCTAAAAAGTGTCCGAACTTATAGGGCATTAAAATCGTATACAGAGCGTCATTCACGCTTTAGTCTTCGTTTGTTCGACTGACAGCGAAGCAAGCAAAATTAGACAGTACTGCGATGACATTACAATTTAAATTCAACGTTTTAGCTTTTTGATATTCCTTTACTTGTCACTACGTTTAAATAGGTTGACTTGGGACATTTTTTTCGTTGTTTTTTTGTATTAGACCCGTGCATATATTTCTCCCGGCCCGTGAATCGAACCTGGGACCTGAATCGAACCTGGGACCTCCGCGTGGCAGTCCCGGATGGTAACCGTTCGGCCACAGAGGTAATTGTAAAATGTACATGACCTCTAATCGTCATCACCTTCTACTTAATCTTTAATACACACATTACAAGTGTTTTGGTATTTATTAACGAAGTTTTTGTTAATTATTGAAAATTAGGTTTTTTTAATGAAATTTTTTTGAATTTGAAATTTTTTTTTATTTGAAAATGAAATTGGGCAAAAAAATCCATTGGCGTTAAAAAAAAACATTAAAAAACCTGATTTACAGTAATGATGAGTGACGACACTTTTGATGAGTATATAGTGAAGAATTAATGATAACTGTATTTTATTATAAACTTACGTAAGGAAATTGAGGCATTTGTTTCGTAGCTTTTACACAGGCATACCTTTTTCAAATCTATCACAATATTTTTACACCTCAGTGTTTTTGTAATTATTGATTCTAATGTTTTATGCATTTCAGGTGTCTAGGAGTTGCAAGAACTGTGTACATGACCATCGTCTACGCTCTCTCCGAAGCAATGGCAAATACGGCAGAGGCAGTAAGCGAAGTTTCATTTTTTCACTTAACTATCCGACAAACACTCTCTCATATTAATTGACTGCCTCTGTGGTCGAATGGTTACCATGCTGGTCTGCCGCAGAGTCAAAGTCAAAGAACCATTTCTTCCATAGGAAAATAAATTTACTCTTAAAAACGTCACTTTTAAGTTACTGCTCGTACACTACATACGCTGATTTCTCTGAGAAAAACGAGCAAGAAACTCTAGAAATTGCTCTTTTCAAATAAATTTAAATGCTATGGAATAAATACAGTTTGAATAAATATGTTTGAAATCTAGACTCATGTCGTCTTTTCAAACATCTTCTTCTTCTTCAATTTTGTAATATGACTTTTCAATTAAAATATTTTTAATGTAGTTTTTAAACTTAGGTTACAATAACTTAATATATACTCCGGAATCTTATTGTAACAATGTATACAGTTTCCCATAAAGAGTCGTTTACTTTGGTTAAACGAAATCGTGGTACCATGAGTTTGGACTTAGTTGTAAGGGTAATATTATGGAGATCTTCTTTCTTAACGAAATTATGTATATTTTTACAGGCATACAAAATATTTGAGTAACTGTACTGTGATGCCACAGTCATGATACCAGTCTCCTTAAACTTTTCTCTGAGAGAAACCCAAAAACCTAAACGGCGGTTTTTCCAATACAAATATGGTTTACCCCAAATGAGAATACGGTTTACAGAGGTCTCGGGTTGTATTCCCGGGCTGGGAGAAATATTTGTACAGCCTAGAGTTACTTCTCTCGTGAGTTTGAGTGCCATTTGTGGTAGTCTATCTGTGTGTCCATGGCACCCGTGACAGGTCGTGACAGGTGCCATGGATAGCACGGGGCTATGAGTGCGTGCGTTATTTATTTATTTATAATCATTGACTTACAAATAAATGGACGACGGGTCTAATACAAAAACCACGAAAAAAATGTCCCAAATCAACCTATTTAAACGTAGTGACATGTAAAGGAATATTGAAAAGCTAAAACGTTGAATTTAAATTGTAATGTCATCGCAGTACTGTCTAATTTTGCTTGCTTCGCTGTCAGTCGAACAAACGAAGACTAAAGCGTGAATGACGCTCTGTATACGATTTTAACGCCCTATAAGTTCGGACTTGTAGCGCGGACCCGACGTCCATATAATTGTAAGTCAATGACTTTAGCTATTTTTACTGTGTGATGACATACGGTATTTTGTTTTTGGGGCATCGAGTATGTTTTAGGGTAAAACCGGTATTGATAGAATATTTGTCCTCCAAAAACGTACGTTTAGGGCAATTTAAAATTTGAGCCACAAAGCCTGTTTGCGAGATAATTAGGTATTTAGGTGTGTAGCGATGTACACTTGTGTCACAGTACATTTATGAAAGTCTTCATTTACAGTCAGAAGAATAGTATTATTAGGAATGAAAATAAACTGGCTATTCTTGACGGTCGTCTTCATAAAGTTACAATTTGATTTAAGGGGCAATGTACACACTTCTATAATAAGATTCCTGTTGATTTTCAAATATTTCCAATTTACGAGGTGTAAAACAGGGTTGTTGCGGATATCAGCGTCCGTATTCGCATTCATCGATGATTCATTTCGGATATTCGAATCACTACATGACATAAAAAGCACGCTGGAATAATTTCCGAAATTTCCAAAAACAGTCTGTACGCCGAAAAAGCAGCTCAATTGTAGTTTTTAGGTAATACGTTCGGCTGTATGTAGACTGAATTTCAAAATTATTTTTTTGTTCGAAAGGGTGAACTCTCGTGATGCTCCCATTGTCATCAAGTCAGAAGCTGATGAGGAGATCCCATGGAAATCGAGGAAAATCCTAAATCTTTATAGGCATGTCAGTATTTTCATCGATTTCTCCATCAATTGTGGACCGATTTTGAAAATTATGTTCTTGTTTGAAAGGGTATACTCTCGAGGTGACCCTGATGCTGACGTTGTTGTTTTGGGTTTGTTTCGGCAATCACAAATTAAAAAAATATTTCCGCAAATAAGGCCACATTTCACTTGACAATTGTATCAAGTGATTTGTTGATTACATAATTATATAGGTATTGACATGTAGTCAACAAATGACCGTCACCATGACAACCATAAAAATATAAAATGTACAAAAGAGGCTGTAATAATCCACCAAGAAGTCTGAATCTGATCCCATGGAAATCGAAAAAAGTCGGTAAGAAAACTTTGGAGGTCGGTGTTTTTTTCAATGAAATAGTTACAATTATTGTAACATAACTTTGATAAAATTCCAGAACGATTGAAGTAAGCAGATTGATTCTTTTGTTAACAAATGTCACAGAATCATGTAAATAATATATTATTACAATACCAAAGAAAATTGAAAGCTTTTTCATGTAGACAGATTCAGTTTTTTTTAAAATACTTAAAATCACCTTCTGTTGATGTAAAAACCTGCATCAGCAACAACCCTGGCTTATAACTATAGTGAAGCACATCTTCACACTAAAATTTACCGTTATGTAAATCTGTGCATCAAAGGTTCACTACCCTTGAAACCTGTCAAGCCCCCAACCCACATTGACTGCTAAACCCTCTTAGTTTGATCATGATGATGGTTACAGGTTACAGACGTAGCTAAAACCCTGTCTGCTTCAAATTGTCACGCCACGTGTACTGCCGAGCACCGACAGCAGGTATTCTTTAATAATTCAACATTAAGAGCGATGTCACACGTGCGATGCCTGTGCGTTGCGTCATTACAACGCTATCTATAATTTCAACGCACTGCCACACGAGCAATGCGGTGTCGCAACGTAACGCCGCTTACCACAGAACTATAAATACAGTAGAAGTGCTTAGTTTGCGTGGCACGTTTGCCAACAGTTCGCGGAGTTTCACAAACTTGAGCTCAGTCTGCCATTTTTGCTTTGTACGTTATGACCATGTCAATTGTCTCCAAAAATCATAGTCGCACTTGTAATGTTATCTATGGTGGTTTTTCTATCATCATTGTCTTATTTTGTTGAATTTTAATCAGTTTTCAATTTTCTGTTTGTCGTGATCATTTTTTTGTTACAAGAAACGAAAGTAAATTATATCGCTGCAATATGATCGCTTCTTTTTTGAGAACTAAGTAAACATCTCGAATTCGTCGTCGTTCAGCTGTTAACCGCTAGATGACAGCATATTGATTGAAATTTCAATATAAAACCAAAACGTCGTAACTTGCAATAGATATTGATGATATTGAACTTTCAACGATATGCCGACGGGGTAAAGTTTAAATTGTATTAACAGTCCAGAATTTGTTATTTCTTTATGAATTTGAAACAACGACCAATCATTATCAATACGTAGTGTTTCAATTTAAGAATGTGTGAGTTTTGGCGACAGCGGTTCTGATGGTAATCGAGGCTTAGGGCACTTCCGTTGTTGTTTTTTTCCGTGGTTTCAACACAACTTGTAACATCACTGCTCAAGAGTCGCAACGCCGATGCAACGCATTGTGTGGCATCACTCGACAGCTTATCGTCTCATGCATTTTATAAACACCAAATGTTTTTACATTCATATTCATATTCATATTCATATTCATATTCATTTATTTGCAAGTCACATGGTTTTTTACAAGTGGTGTTAAACTAGTTATATGTACAATATTCGGATGCTTTTATACGTAAAGTTCAGCTTTTCCCGTAAGTTGCTGTCGAAATTAGAAAAGTGGCTTCTTAATTTTATTTTTCTTCTCTCATATCCCCATCCGGAATCACGTGACTTATGCGTGACATTTTACAATTTTTTTATTATTAATTTATAACTGCCTCCGTGGCCGAACGGTTACCATGCCGGACTGCCACGCAGAGGTCCCAGGTTCGATTCCCGGGCCGGGAGAAATTTTTGTATGGCCTACAATTATTTCTCTCGTGAGTTTGGGTGTAATTTGTGGTTGTCTATATGTGTGTCCATGGCACCCGCGACACAGGGTTTCCCTAGTGCGGGGCTATGTTGAGTGTGTGCGTTATTTATTATTTATTTATTTATTTACGTATTTACGTATTTACGTACGTATTTATATTAAACATAGTATTTTATTTGTGTTTGTTTTTTATTTCAGCCAACAGGCAATATATTTTATAACCCGGGCCTCGTAACCCAAGAATATTCCGACAAAGATCCGCAAAGACTCAAGTCGATGGATAATAGGAGATCAGAAATAAGAAATACAATGTCGACAGATGGCAAGAAACCAGAAATAAGAGATGCCCAGTCGATAGATAGCAGGAGACTAGAAATAAGAGATACAGAGTCGATAGATAGTAGGAGACCAGAAATAAAAGATTCACTGTCAATAGATACTAGGAAACCAGAAACAAGAAGTACACATAAAAGTTTTAAAAGTGACAAAATATCAGACTATGAAAAAGTATTCGACAGACCACCTCCGCCACCATTTGATAAACCACCAATACTCAGGCAATCGGCAAGGTACTCGGATAAGTCAAATGAACCACTATCACAGAGTCAAGAAAACCCATCAACAACACGAACCTCAGGAAATTCCGCTGTTCCAACTCAATCACAAGTATCATCAGGACAGGACAAACTACCATTTTATCCGTCGTATGATAAGGAAAAAGGGTTGAATGCGGCAACATCACCCGTAATCGCAGAGGCAGGATCCAGCAAAGGAAAGTCTACTGAATCACAACCTTCAAGTGAGGTGGAAATACAATCTTGTAGAAAATGTCTGGAAAAGGGGAGAACGTGTATCAGCGACTGTCCCAAAGCAAAAGTCAGTAAGAAAAATAAAAAATAATTTGCACTTTTTTTTTCATACAAAACATTTTATCTGAGTAAAATAGTTGAATAATAGAGTGTGCTTGTTTTTTTTTATAATTATTTTGGTCTTTGATTTAGCTGGTCTCGGCTAGAGTAGGATTGGTTGAAAGTTTATGCTTGGGCTGGGAGATTTGCTGAATTTCTTAGTTAATGTTTAGTAACGAGAATGAATGATGATTAACTGGAATTTTTTCCTCTTTGAAAGGATTGGGAAGGCAGCCTGAGTGATATGGTTCCGAAAGTTGAGAAAATTGAAGTGACGCCCCCAGACACGAATATCAGCGTACTATTCGAGACTAAACGATGTCTCAAATGCTTTGAAGGAAAACTTTGCACCAGTTCAAATTGTCCATTTCGCAGAAGAGTAAGGCTCATTATAATTACTATGTCACGTTGAATTCTAGATGATTATATACCTAAGAATTTAACAACAGGGAAAAAGTATGTCACAATTAACAAAAAATAAGTGCTTTCATGTGAAAACAGATTTCAATTTCGTTGTAAGAGCTATACTTGTTTGTGACATCACAAGGTTTTTTTTTAATGTTAATGACGCCATAGTTAAATACTGATGACCATTTTGCTGAAACGGGAGAGAGCGTCTTCCCATTACTGACTTGATCATTACTATCTACTAGGGAATCTGTTGAAATATCGAAAAGCTAATTTCTTATTAATTTTCAACATATTTATGAGAGTTAGTTGAAGTAATAAAAAATGATGAATCAAATACTGTATTATGTTATATTTAAAATTAAAAACACGTCAAGGCATCCCAAGTAGCCAAGATATCTACGCATAACGCGAATATGACAGACGGTCTTTACAAATGACGAAGTATATAATTGAGTGTCTCGTAAAGGTGACCTACCCATAACGTGTACACGTAGCTATAGACGTCTAAGTTTCTTCCTTTTTTAATAAAAAAACCCTCTGTTTTTAACAGTCCTCTTTAGGCCTAAGAAGAAATTCATCTACTAGTATAAATCTCCACGACCTCGCCGATAGCGAAGAAATAGCTGACAAAGAGAAGTCGTTCAGCAGGCGGCTTAGTGAACCACCGAACATACCATTTAAAAAATGCTTAAGATGTGAAACCGGTTTACAGTGTACTTCTTGCACACAGGCCAATACACCACGAATCAGTTTTAGTGATGTAAGTAAAACTATTCAAAATACTAATGTTTAGAAACAAACTATGGCTTTAATATCTATATATGTAGCAAACCTCTTACTAATATTGAAGGAAAACATTGTAATGAAACCTATACGTCGAAGAAGTATTCTTTTCAATCCTTGAAAAATATGTGAATTCTTCTTCCCGCATTGAGCCAGTGTGGCGGACACTGGCCTAAACCACGTCCTCACTGACAACTCGTGCCTAACAGTCCCGTATCTTCGACATGCGTTCTGATTACAGTAACCCTTCTTATCAACCCGCAACTCCCTATTAATCTTGATTCTGCGGGAAGGGCACTAAAATCTGTCCCAGCGCAAGGACCTTCTAGGTTCAGGGTTCAGGTCCTGACCCCGGATCAGCCAGTGTACAGGGTTGTCTCAGACCGGTGTCACGGACTTCATTCGGTTCTCAAAGAGGTTAGGCTACCTCGCCGAGCCGCTACTGGTGCATGTACAGTACCCACCCTATTTTCCAAAGAGGTACCGGAGCTGTACGCATGTTCGCTTCACCCGTGTCTAACAGTGGGTCGACGATAATGATGAAATAAGAATTGGTTGAAATAAAACAAATATATTGCTATCCCCAGAGAATTAAAAGATAAAATTATCTACTCATGCCCAAGTGCACAAGAATAAGGTTATATGGTAATATTAAGCTAAATGAGTTACGTTTCTTAATACGACAAATGACAATAGAATTATGTTCTCGTATAAAAGTTACGCGAAATAACGATACACGCAGTTATCATATTTTATTCCCGTTTCAAACTGTTCGGGCTGTTCGTAGAATAAAGCAAAAGTTGATTATCATATCATGGTTTCATGGTATCAGCAGAATAAAAGACCTTTCCAAAAAAATATCTTGCTATGTTTACGAGAATATGATGATATGTAATTATTTTATTGTACCCCGTAGAATAAAATGATTAATTAAGTCAATGGTGCAATACTTGTTTTCGGCTCAGACACAACGAGAATAAAATGATAATCCACAATATAAATCCAACATGGTGATCGATTTTCACTAATTATTATTTATTTATTATTGTTTGAAAAAACAAATATTCGCGATTTAAATCCGGAAAATATTTTCATTTCCTATGTAATTTCCTATGAAAAATATTCTTTCCATAAAGGTAACTATTAATCTACCTGCGTTCAGTATTTAAAAACTTATCAATGAAAACATGTTTTTTATTTTCCCTGAAATATTACTTTGTTGCGATTATCACTTTGTTCTCCGGGGATAGCGATATGTGATTTAGGTTTGAAAAGTGGAAACATTTTCTTAACCTTTTGTACCTTTATCGCAGGGTTCACATAATGAAATGATACATAAAGAGCAAACTAGTGCAGATAAGACCAACCGAAGGAAGAGTTCAATTCTGCGGAGACTCAGTAGAAAAAGCAGCATTCCATTACAAATTGAAATGGAGAACTTGCAAAATATAGACGACAAAGTTACCGGACAACAAAGTCAATCTAACCTGTTAGACGGAATTCAAATAAAAAGTGAAAGTGAACAAGACACTGAAATCTATAACGACAATGAATCGAATACCAACCCTGGATTGAATACTGGAGTTGTAGCTTCATGGTCTACAATTCAAGAGGGTGAAGTTTCTGAAAACTCGTGTCCACAATGTGAGGAGTTAGGCGAGAAGTGCGTTATACATTTGACGAGTACAGCAATGTAGAACTGAATTTAATAAGTGAATATTATTCATGATTTAAATTGTGTGTAATGAGGAAAACAGTCTTTAAATTTTGTGGTGTATTTTCTGTCTTCTTCAATATTTTGCGGTAATTTAGATTTTATCGTAGTATTTGGTCACATTACCGAAATGTGTTACAAGTGCCTGAGTTCAAGTATGATTTGTTTGCTCTGCATGCATAATAACTCTGGTAATTTTCTTAAGTATATTTTTTCCCTTTAATTATCAATTTTTTACCCAAATTAATTAATTCATATTGATATCGCTATTAGAATAATCCTTCTTTTCTTTGAAGAATCTCTTTTCGTTCTCAAAATTGCTATAAGGTATACCTTAGACGGATGGAAAAAAAAATTAGATACCATAGTTTTGTCATTTGTCAAGTGTTATCAGAAAGTTTATTTTTCTTTTTTGTGTCTGAACCATTTGAACTAAGTGAAATTTTTAGTATGACTGTGCCAAAAAAATTGTAAAACTGAAAAACATGGCGTTGTAAACTTTAAAGAATAGAACAGTTTTGAGAGGTTTTCCTTTTTTCTGATCAGCAAACAAAATCTTGTGCCAATAACAACTAACTATGGCACGTAACACTGGTAAGTGGTTGCTCATTTAAATAGGTAAGTTTAAGGTTTGATCCTGGTATCCACCGTAGACAGTGAGAATGAGGTTGATTACATTTGATTAATAAGGTAAAATATTCATAACCGAATATCACAACTCGCGAAACAGATAATCCCAGTGAAGAAAGGTTCATGAATAGCGACCAAGAACTGGAAACTGGTGGATATAAGAAATTTTTTTTTAAGAAATGTAAGTGCGTATTTGACCTCCATCTCACGTGATGAAAGTGACGATGAGGTCCACAATGGAATATGCACACTTAAATAGTGCCTATTCACTCTCACCTTGGAAAGGTCCAAGTTGTAACGTTCAGGGAACAAGTCTGCAGGCAGGGAATTCCACTCCATAGCCGTTCGCCGTATAAATGTGGAAGCGTAACGATTCGTGCAAATCTTTGGAATATCTACAACTTAGGTGTGGTACCAAGGTGTGGTCTGGTCTCCCGATCATGGAAAGGGGAAGGCGGAATTAAGTTGTGTAGTTCCATCGCACACTCTCCGTGATATATCCTGTAAAATACCGATAAGCAGCCAACTTTACGGCGTTGTTCAAGGCTCTCCAGCTTCGCCTTCACCAATTCTGAGTCACCTATAAGCCTCTTGCCACGGTTGTTGATTTAATCCAAGGTGGCTAGTTGGTATGTAGCAGAGCCATCTCAAAGGTGGCAGCAGTACTTCGTCCGGGCTTGTGCTTGATACAGCTGGAGCAACTGTCCCGGTGTAAAGTAACACCTCTACCTGGAAAGGTTGCCAAGCTTCCTTGCTTCATTTTTGGCCATGGATTCAATGTATCTAAGTTCAAATTGGACGACAGGTCCATTCCAAGTAGCCAGAGACGGTAGGCTATCGGTATGGATACATCACGAAAAGTCGGAATCAGCTTAATCTTGTTTTTAGCCGACTTCAAAAAAGGAGGAGGTTCTCAATATGACTGCATGTTCTTTTTTTTTGTATGTATGTTACGCGATAACTTAAAGCTTTGTGAACCGATTTTCATGATTCTTTTTTTGTTGGAAAGGGAGTACTTCCATAGTGGTCCCATTTCATTTAGAAGAAAATCATCCAACTCTAAGGGTGGCTGTTCACGCATGAAGATTCATTTTTATAAATAGCGCCTAATTTAATTTAGGAGCAATTACTTTAATGGTTCATTTTGCTATTTCTTCAATTCAAGGCGTTTTTCTCTCAATATCCTTTGAGTAGTTTAGTAGTGAGAACCTATTTTTATTGTCTCCAGTGTCAAGTCCTGTATAGTGGCGAACTAGGGGATATTTCAATAAAACTTAGCAAATAGACGTAATTCCACGTACTTTTGAGGTCGGTTTTTTTAGTACTCTGTACTGAGATTATTACTACATGTGAACAACTTCATTTAAATATACAAGACACGACAATTTAAACTGCACGACTATTTGTCGTCACGACATTATGGGAACGCGCCCTAAGTGTGGGAATTTTGGAAAGAAGGTTATTACTAATTACTCTACTTCTATTTGTGTGATCGACTTGAAATTTGGTATATTATGGAAATCCGACGACATTAGAATAATATGGTAACCTTAACCTGATGCTGCAACCAGGACTGTCTGCAGACTGCCCAACTCTTCAACTACTTACAGTGGAACTATAGTGTTTGGACTCACTGAATTGGTTCCATGACTTGTTAATTTACAAATGGCGGCTTTACTGACTTTTTGAAGTTCCCTGTTTTGTATGTTAATTTAAGTTTTTTATAGGACTTGACGTGCGGCAAAATCATAATGAGCAAACATGTATCATCTCTGTGTTACTGAAAGCCGTTGGATTGTTCGCAGTTTTGTTTTTTATTCTGGTATGTATTTTAAATTTTTTTACATCTTCCTGTCTTATCGGAATATATTGTTCATCAAAAAAAATTTTTTTTAATTAAATGGACTTGCTCTTGACCTTTACCTAGTGCTGGAGCAAAGATAAGACCTACGATGGAAGAAGAAGCCTATTCAATCGCACCTCAAAGACACTCGGGTTGTATGAATTCGGAAAGACAGACCGTCGTACGTCTGGATGTCCGATGGTATGGGCGGGATGAGCTGATAGAGCTCATGAGCACACTCACCGAAATATATTCTATGGAAAACCGACAGATAGGCAACTTGGCGTCTGTGGGCTAAACTATAAACTTTAGATTCGAGCTCATCGTAACCAACAATCTTTCTGGCTCTGCGCTCAATCGAACCAAGAACCTCAAGTTGATACTTCGCTGAGCCATCCCACAGGTGACTGCAGTACTCCATGCATGAATGGACTTATGCTTTGTATAAAGTTAAGAGCTGTCCAGGCGTGAAATATCGCTAACTAAAACTGGGTATCCTTAATAAGGTTATTAAGGATACCCAGATCTTTGCCAAAGTTAAGGGTTGCGCTCAATGTTATATCAAAGAGATCCAGACTATCGGTAAGAGAGACAGATATACCCCGAAAAGTGGGAGTCAGATCAAATTGACTCCTTTTAACAGAAAACAAACAGGACGGGCGAATTGTATTATCATGGCGTTGTCGCAAAAAAATCATTGTAATATGCAGGTTGCTTTCAGTGTATGCCGATGGGTGACCCAGACGTGTTGTGTCATCAAGAAAATGTAGAAGTCCTGGGCAATTTTTCATATGACGCAGTGCAATCGTACGCATGCAGTTTACATAATGTGTTAACCAAGTACGTTTCAATTAAATACGTATGAGTTCGCAATTCCGGCGCATGCGTAGACTATTTCCTAAACGCACACACTCATTGCTCCGCACTAGGAAGATCTTGTATCACGGGTGCCATGGACACAGACAACCACAATTTACACCCAAGCATAAACTACTCACTGACTGCCTCCGTTTCTTACGATTAGCATTCTGAACTGCCACGCAGAGGTCTTGGGTTCGATTCCCGGGCAAGTAGAAATATTTGTATGGCCTACGATGATTGTCTATCTATGTGTGTATCCATGGCACCATAGATAGTGACATGGCGATCGTTGTCCATACAAGATCTCTCGTTAAACGTGAAAATGCGAAGTTACAGATACACCTTGTAAAAATTAGAGTGAAAACTAAAATTTTAAAGCCAGTGAGATTACATTCTATCGGCTATTTGCATTTTTAGTTACTATTTCTATTATTATTCAATGTTTTCTTTTTGTCTCCATAGACATTTTTAGACTCAAATATAGTGATGTTCATTTACAATGAATGATGTTTACGACAATAAATTTTTACTGAAATAATTGAATTTCTTACTATGATATTTATAATTAAAGTCCTTTTAATATCGAAGCGAAAAGTTAACCGTTAAACGTTAAATTGATTTCTTTTATTTTATTATTATTATTATTATTATTATTATTACTAAACATTTTATTTCGAGTAACTTTAACACAACTCATATTTCGAACAATCGTTTCAATTTCACGTCAATTTGTATGTTGCTGTTGCTTGAAGAAAAATGTATGTGTATTATTGTTTTGGATATTTAAATTTCATTATACTCGTAGATCAAACGTAGAGTGTTTTTAATTTTTAAGATTTTCCAATGAGTTCCAAATAAAAGAAGGTTGGATTGAAGCTGCAGGAAGATCGAAAGATTGTTTTCTTATTACTATTTCTGACGTTGTTTAAATTTCCATAGCAAATGCATTTTAAAAACTAAATAAAATGAAATCGGCTTTATTTTAAATGTGCATGCAAAATAAATAAGAAACAATTATAGAAAATTACATAAATCCTTCATAAAAAACAACATAATTTAATTTATTAAATTCGTTGATGGTTCGAGTATACTCTTGACAGTGACAGCTTCACCAACCCGTGGTAACGTATAATGGAAAACTGACACTGGCGACGATCGCCATGTTTTTTATATTATTCTTATAAAACTGACATTGGCCCAAGACTGGTGGCCGCCATTAAGAAAATAATAATAATTTGTATTAATATATTAATTTAATAATACACCAGTCCCAGTAGTATGAAAAATGGAACATTTATTTAATATTAAAAACAGCCACATGGTTTCTAACTATCGATTAGGTAGAACCACATCCCTCGTTGAGTAGCGTCAGTATAAGGTTAACAATTCACGGAGCGGTTTGCATCCGCGCCCGCCGGTGCTGCTAGACAGCGGTTTTATTTCAATACTCACGACCCTGCAAGTTTGTGCGGACACGTAGCCGCCGCGATTGCGGGCACGAAACCGTTGCTATTGCGGAACGAACCGCGAAGTTAGTTAGTCAGTGGGAGTTAATCGCAAGTCGCGCGGTTAATAAAGAACTCACACCGCGTACGCCTGCAACTCATTGCGCGTGAACCGACAGCCAAAATGAGCGCGCAGGTGATCGCGTCCTGCGCGGTTCAACTAGTACCAGTAGCAAAAGTAGTAGCAACTGTCACCACTACAGGCGTAAAACTTTCCGTGAAATGTGCTACTAATTTTACATACTTAACTATTACACTCTACAGGTGCTGCGGTCCCGCGGCAGACGCGGGTGAAAACCGCTCCGTGAGTTCTTAGTGCAACATAAATTAGTTTCAGCGCCATCTAACGTGTAATAGTTAGCTATTATACACTAGTAGCAGTTTTACTATAACGCCACCTGATGGTGAATGGCTGAACCAGGATGCAAAAAACACTGAAATATTGTAATATAACTCTTTCTCAAGTGACTGTAAGTTTGTTAAATTTTAAAATTGTGTTTCGTCGTTTTCACGTTTTAAGCCCTACCCAATCAAAATCTTTAAGTTATGGTAGTAGATAATAGAGCGTAAAGTTTGAATTGCACACAAGCTAAGAAGTGGCGACATCGGTACTAGATCTTACATAGCGTCATTACATATCTCCCCTTTTTCCTATAACTATGCATGGCACCCGCGCATCGAGTATATAACCAGAAATAGAGACGAAATATTTAATTTAATTTGTTTGAAAACTATTCTGCCAAATCATTACGGTGACAATTGCGCTCCGATTGGCTAGCCCATATTCGAAACAATTGACGGGTGTCGTCAATTGTTTTACTCCAAATCGATCAGTTTAACTTGAGCTTTGTTATAATGGACGTAAATTGAAAAATGACATATTTAATATTTAATTACCGATGAAGTATGATTTTGTTTGTTTTGTAATTAGATGTTTCGCTGTTTTTCCCACACCATCGAATGGAACAGCCTCCCATTGTTAGATATATTTATTACAATAAATATAGAATATTTTTGGAATATACGGAGACGTACACACGGGTTCGTTGTTGGCGCTCTACAGCTTTCTAATTTGTGATTTCAGCACAAACGAGTTCGTATTTAAAGTGATATAAGGCCCATTTTCCTGTTGAGTTGCCAGGGATGGATGGTCCTTATTTCGTCTCTATTCCTGATTATACACTCGATGCACCCGCGATACAGCGTTTCCATAGGGCTATGAGTGTGTTATTTATTATTACCAGTTTATGAAAAAGCTTTCTTGAGTCCTTTATGTTCATCAATCTTTTCCAACAGGACTTCGTATTGTTACCACTACGCAATCCAGGCTTTTTAAGAACAGTATCAATTTGATCTGTAAACATTTTTTGGGCCACCACTTCTTTCACGTCAGCTGTTTATATTTCTTTTGTATCAGTAGAGCTTTTTGTGAAAGAGTTTGTCCAGGGAATTGAAAGAGTTCGTCCGCCAAGCAATAATGTGAGCATTACTGCGTTCCGGTGTAGAAGGGTAAGGGTGCTGGTGAAATTACAGGCACATGGTACTTGTCAACTTATGTTTTGGGATAACGGGCGCGATGGCGGTGCCCCTCAGATCTTTGCGATTTTAAGCTCTGAGGGGCACTGCAACAGTTAATGACAGGCGTATTTGATAGCTTTCCACCAGACTCACGATATACTCGTCCAGTTTCTTCATATTTTAAATTTTATTTCCTCGCAAATGTGATGAAAAGCATTATATGTAGTATGGGCGGTAAAAATTACAAACCTCATTACAGCCCTCAGTCTTCAGCTTCGGTCTTCTAATAAACTCTCGTTAATAATTTCTTATTTATCGCTCTTAGTACATAATGTTTTTTTTTTAATTTAGTTTGAAGTGACGAGACGAACGAGTCGTGTGTGCCTGATGGTAAGGTACACGTCTATCCTTAACAGTTGCAGTGCACTGACACTGCGCCCGTCACCGTGAGACATAAGTTGACAAGTCCCATGTGCCTGTCATTTCACTAGCACTCTTACCCTTTAAAACTGGAACACAGTCATGCTGACATGACTGACATTTCCGGGTGGACCCGGATTTGGGTATGGACTCGCTGGGGTTTGTGGTGCGCTGCAGAGACGTACTTTTTTGTCTGCCCCGGTTGCATGTAGGCAGGGCGTCTGTCTCGTTCGCAGCAGGCGTGTCTATGTAGCGGTCTAGTTGAGGGCCTGTAGAGAGGAGACGCGCGGGGCACGTGACTACTCACATGCCCTTGCCCGTTAAGTTGGTAGCTATATCCGGACTTTATCGCAGAACACTGCGACTGGCATCTCTAGAGAATAAGATATCCTGGAGACGGCGTTTTTTGGCGTCGGGAAGTGAGCGTACCTTATAGCTTCGCCACCATTGTGGGGATTTGGTAGTGGACTTTAGAGTCGATGGCTTAGCGGTGGCAACCGCTAGTTGTGCAATGCGCAACAGGCAGTGAGCGTGCCTACAGCTCCGGTACCTATTTGGAAAATAGGGAGGGTGCTGTACTTGCACCCGGGGCGCCTTATCTAAGGCACTAGCCTCACAAAGAACCGGATGAAGTCCGTGCAAACGTGCGGGGTTAGGACCTGACTTAGGTGGTCTCTATGCGGGTTCGCTCGCACAGGTCGTAGTGCCCTTCCCGTATAACCAAGAGGTTGATAGAGAGGGGCATTCTAAACAAAACTTATGTAGAAAGATATGGGATTGTGCCAAAATTAAGTTAAAAGTTTAATGCATGTGATCGTATGTCAAAAGTAACACATGAAATTGACTTACAAATAAATGGGCGACGGGTCTAATACAAAAACCACGAAAAAAATGTCCCAAGTTAACCTATTTAAACGTAGTGACATGTAAAGGAATATGAAAAAGCTAAAACGTTGAATTTAAATTGTAGTGTCATCGCAGTACTGTCTAATTTTGCTTGCTTCGCTGCCAGTCGCACAAACGAAGACTAAAGCGTGAATGACGTTCTGTATACGATTTTAACGCCCTATGAGTTCGGACACTTTTTAGCGCGGACCCGACGTCCATATAATTGTAAGTCAATGCATGAAAGCCATAAAAATAATACGAACAACATGAAATAAAATTATTATTGACATGCCTACTTAGTGTTAACTTCATTTCAGTGTAGCGACGTCTACAAATTCGTTAATAACTCAAAGCTCCGAATTCATGGCATGTGTGATACTAAATGCAGTTTATGATGCTAAAATGAAGGTACGAATTTTCATTACATTTTTCTACATTTGAATTACTATAATAATAACAATAAGACTTCTAACAATGATATTTTCGGGAAAGCCAAAGCAAAAACCGAAATTAAAAGTTAGGGTTCATCAAGATTTATTTATTTTCTTTCACAATTATCTGCTAATGTTTCTACGTGCTTGTTGTCGGATCATTGTATTTGGTTTTTCAACGACTTTTTAACCGTAGCGCCATCTATGAGAAATCTATGATAGTGTTTCGTCACAGTTAGGTACCTTTACATCTACCAGTTCTGGCCAGAGATGTCGTTATTAGAGTGGCAGAATGTTTCAATGTTTTTTGTAAAATTACTCCACTAGTTTGTTTATAATTAATTAATACAAAGACCGAACACTTAGAAAAAATTCCTTCGATCCGGACGGATTTGAAACTGGAAACCGTGCCAGACGCTCTGTGTGTCGTCCTAACTGGGTCACGAAATACTTTCATAGATTTCTCATACATGGCGCTACGGTTAAAAAGTCGTTGAAAACTTATTTGATAATTTTATTATATGAGCGGACTCATTCTTTTGACTCTTTCTTTAATTTCAAACTAATAACGACAAACAGTGAGAAAACTAAATAAGCACGGAGATAAATCTATGGAAAACGATTTAGTTTGTGAGTTTTTGAGATTGACATTTGATTCGTTTGGCTACTTCTCGGAATTAAACATATGATACGACATTGCTAGCTATAGTATTTTGTTGTTCTAATTATTTTTAATACCAAGATCAGTTAAAAAGAAAAATATAGCACGAAATATTTGGTACATACTGGTTCATCATATTGGTCTTTTTTTTCGAAATATCCTATACGACATACCAACGATTAACGTTTCTATGGGCTAGTGTATTTTGGTACAAACATCTTTTATGTAAAAGAAATTAAAAACTTATTCCAGATGCCAATTAAAAAACAACCGAAAACCAATTGTTTCAGTTCTACACAATGTTACAAAAAGTGGATAAAGAAGACTTGTGCGCGGCTGGCGTCTGTGCGCCGAAGGCAAGTGTGAACGTTTTTAGCATCTCGTTGCCCTGGATGAACAGGGTATCAACTAAAAAATTTGGACATTAAATGCATTCCTATTAAAAAAAGCGAGACCTTTCTAATGAACAAAGTCTTATAGCAATCGAACGCGAAATGGCGCGGGGGCAGGGTTAGTACCTTTGACCTTGTTCCACGTTTTGGCCCCAAATATTGACCAACACAGTCGTCAGTATTACACACGAAACTGTAGTAGTCAACACGTCGTCGTTCGTTGAACAGGGTATTAAAACTAAAACACAGTAAGTGTTCATTATATGTGTATTTAAAAAAATAAATAATTTTTTAAAACAAAGTCGATTATTTCAAGGTAATACCTTCTTTGGGATATTTTTTCATTGAATTGTTATGGTTATTTATAGTATATAGTGTTTTTTGAGATACTACTACGTTCCTTAAAGTTTTATCGAATTAAATGTTATTCCTTCTTTCATTCAAAAGTATTAAGCATGAAAAGTTTAGTTAAAATTCTGAATCACAAATATTTTATGTTCAAAAGCGTAATATTATAGAACTCTCTGAACAATTTCAGTATATTCTCAAAACTACGGAGCTGAATAAGAATAAGAAGTATTCGAAAATACTGTTAAATGTGTAGATTTTAAATACGATTTTAAAGATAAGATGAAAAAAATAACAATGGCGGCTGAAATAATACTAGAAGTGACTTTGAATATGCTCTCCTGAAAAATCTGTGTTTTTGAGATAATACCCAGTTCATCTAGATCTATGATCTTTTTTTTTAGCCCTTCACATAAAGTGTTTAGTTTTTAATTAAAGATGCAATCAGGAAGTCATATCACAATTTTACGGAGCATTGCTGAAAGTTTAATTTTGTTTAACACCTTCATACGGATCTATCTAGAATCATCGACTGTACATTCAACATTTTTAACCTATGTGGATATCATATGTCTCTTACAAGGGAAATAATAATAAAGTCCATGTTAACTTGTTTTGAGTTAATACCGCCGTCTAATTTTTTGAATGCTGAGATATTTTGCCTAAATCTGGAAAAAGGAAATAAGGTTCAATTTGTTAAAACGATAGCTTTTATATTTAGGTTAAAAAAATAGGTAAAAAAACAGCTAAACATTTAAGTACAAAATAAACGGAATCACATTTCATCGGTAATTAAATAATATATTAAACATGTAGTTTTTCAATTTTCGGCCATTATAGTAGAGCTCAAGTTAAACTGGTCAATTTGAATTAAAACAATTGACGACACCCGCCAATAGTTTCGAATTCGGGCTGGCCAATCGGAGCGCAGTTGTCATCATAATGATTTGGCAGAATAATTTTCAAACAATTTAAATGACTATATTTATACTCGATGGTCAGCATTGACTTTATTTCAGGTAGCATTTGTGCATGTCTTTTTCACGAACACTTAGGAGCTTTCCAAATTAAAAATTCGTTTTTCCTGAAATTCACCTCAAGTGGTTGATCATTATTTCTCTGGACTTCTTCGCAATAGCCTCCTGCCAACTCAGAGATCTTTTTTTAGAATATATTTTTGAAACTTTCAGGGATTGTTGTTAATAATTTAGAAAGTATTGAAAAAGTATTTAAAAATATATTTATTTGGGAAAACTGGATTTTCACAATGTCCTATATGTAGGACATCGGCACTATATTAAGATGACTTTTTAAAATTTTTAACGGTTGTAAGTGGACTAAATTAGCAATTAAGTTAAAGGAATATTTGAATACAATATTTTTTATTCAAAAATAAAAAACACAAAATGTACCTATTAAATATAAACTTAAAAAACGAATAAAAAATAAATGTTTCTTCTGAAAAAATAAGATACTACTTCTATCATTTAGACGTTATTACTATTATAAAATTAAATTTTCAATTTTATTTAATTGTAAAATAGGAATGAACGTTAGAGATTAACAGAAACATATTTATTCTAACTTTCAGCCTCGTGAAATTCGGTGAAACAGTTTCTATTTAGCACAAAACACAGACAAATCTCAGATTTTTAACAGTTTTTCTTATTACAACCAATTTTTTGCAGCGTGACTGTTTTAAACTGTTATGCCTTTAATTCCCTTATAGTTAATCCGAGAGATCTTCTAGTTTTCAAAATTTGTGTTCTATTTGTACAATCAATAAAAATAATATCATCATTGATATACCTACTGCTGGTAGAGTTTATACCATGCCCATTCCGTACTATCTATTGGTAAATACGCGGGTTGCAAAGAGTAAATTCTGGCTCAAACTTGTGTTTCGACCAATCATCTTGCTTATCATTAGCATTTTGGCAACTGAGGATATGTGATCGGAATGAAGGTGCCGGGTGTTTGAACTACTTCTAACTCGACTAGAAACACGTCTACGTGATGGATCTCAGATGTCCTCTCGATCGCGACGATAATGATGATGAACTGGCGAACACTTCCGAATTATCGGAAAACGCTGGAGAAGACTTAATAGCATCCGGTATATCACGCTGTTATTACAATAGTGTTGGTATTCAAAATATGTGAAATTAAAGATTATAGTATTGGTGAACGTACAATTTGATTCTCTACACGCCAATGAAATCGTTATTAGAATATTGTAAGAAACAATTAAAACATATCTACTTAACCCAAAATGAGATAAACTTTTTGTGAGCTAGTTCTGGAAAAACAGTTTACTCAAAAATAGGAAATTATTCTTTCCCTTTTATTTTTAAACATATTTAGCAAGTAGAAAATTGTTTACGTGTCTGTAATAAACTTTGACCTATATATGTTGTTTTCTAAATCTTTCACAGGAAGAGAATAATTAGTTTTTCATTGACTCTGAACGAATACCCTTTTTGAGTTAAATACACTATTATATTCACAGTGCGATATGTGCTTTGTCGTTTCAATTGCTATCCGACTCAAGAATATTATTTTGATTGCGATTCGATAGCTTATATTGAAGATCCTCATCGAAAACGTCACCATAAAACAATCTTGGAGTCATTGAACGTTTCTAGTATTTCATTATCTAATCTGTCAAATCATAATCTATCATAACTTAAAAAAATATATAATTTTGTGTAAATATATAATATATAATTATATATATACATATCTACATGTCTACATTTGTTCTTTGCAAAGGACATAAAGTTTGTTAGGTTATTTTTCGCTAAGTATTTATTTTCTTCTGAAAAATATCTTACACAATTAATTTATTAATTAAATAAGTCATTTAGGAAAAGATATTGCGTAATTTATTATATTTTGAAATAATGTAGACTGACTAACTTAGCTTCGCACAGACGCATTTTTGCACGTGCTCCCTCAGATGCTATTTAGAAAAAAATTAAAATGACACAAATACTTTGTCTATTGTTTTGACTTAGAAAGCATATAAATGGTGTTCAAAAAATTAGTAAGCTTGCCACCTTTAGTTACGTCAGGAGAATTTTTTGATTTCTATGTACTACTCGGAGTACAAATATAGGTAGGAGGATATAATAATACAGTGTGATTTTTCAACTAAGACTGTATGGGGGTATGCGAAACCATAGGAGATACAGGGAAACTTTCTTAGGGCACCCTATAGTTTACTTTGTGTCAACATAACTGGTTAATGACTTTACCACCTCAATCAAGCGTGACCATGGGACCTGTAAACTACCCGAAACGTTGGTTTGTTTGAAAAAACAAATAAACACGATTTGAATCCAGAAAAATTGTTTCATTTCCTGTATGTAATAATCGCGAAAGTCTAAGAACTCGATATCATGATATTCAATAAAATATTTTATTTTTATTTACTATTTTTTATTATTCTGCCTGCTGTGACCCGTGTAATATGTAACTTAAGGATTAATATACTCATCACATAATATAGAAACTAAATAACTAATCTACATGAATTACACTTGTAGTAATATAAAGTTCTCACTGGCGCTGCATTCGCGACTCTACTAGTCATCGAGCATGTAACCAGAAATATATACTCGATTCTCCTATTTGTCATACAATATTTGGAAGCGACGTTGCAGCGCCTGTGTCGTGATACGTGCGCGCCACTTTTGCAGTCACAATAACTGAACTAAAGTTCAATGGATCGCTACAGATGCGCGACTGCTGCGCTACTAAAGCGACACGGCAGGGCTGCTACAAATGTCTAATTTTTATGGCGCTCTTTTTTTGTTTTGATACCAAGTGATCCGAAAATCTTATAACTTTTATACTTTGCAATATTACAATGTCACGACAATTTGTGTAGATGAGTTATTTAGTTTCTATATTATATTATGTGTATGTTAGTCTTAAAGTTACATATAATACGGGTCATAATTGCTTGATGTAAATGAATAAAAAATAAAACAAAAATTATTTCATTAAATGTCATGATGTTTTAAATACCATAACATTCATATATTTTTTATGAAAATATTCTTGAAATAAATAGACGATCAAATCAAAGGGAAATTATTTCGATACGGCTGGAATCTAACCAGCGACTTTTTCGCCAAACCGAAACTTTCGCTCTCCCAATTGAGCTACGGGACGAGTTACGAATTTCTTACCTTACAAATTTCTCTATGTGTCTGTTGCAGAACGCCGCTTGTGAGAAATCTACGAAAAAATCGCTGGTTCGATCGAAGGACTTTTGCTATGTATTTGTTCGACCTTTGTATCAATAATAACCTTTATACGTTGTCCACAGAATGGTCTGAACGCTATATCAAAACATGAGGATACCTCTCCCGTGAAAAAGGAAACTGCCGAAAATTATAATGTGTGTAATTGTAATAGAAAATGTTGCAGGAAGAATTGTTTTTAGTAGTGCTATGTGACGCAATAGATTAATTTATTTCGTAAGATACATTTCAGACAGTTACGTCGCGTTGCTATCGTTCGTCTGAGGATACACAACTGAGTATGACGAAAATAACAATAATAACAATAATAAGTTTGTTTATTTTCTGACCACTATACAGGTACATTGAGGATAATAATAAGCACTGTACATAAAAAAGAAAGAATTATATTGTGGGAGACTGGTGCCTCAACTAGACGTATTTCTGGTCTGTATTTCAAGTCACCAGGACTTCACCCCTTTTACTGAATTTTTATATTCAATTGTACACTTGCTTCGCAAAAGATTATCTTAATCATTTTGTGCAATACATCGAGTATATAACCAGAAATAGAGACGAAATAAGGACCATCCATCCCTGGCAACTCATCAGGTAAATGGGTCTTTATCATAACTCTCGTTTGCGCTGAAATCACAAATTAGAAAGCTGAAATAGTACACCAACAACTGACCTGTGTGTACGTCTCCGTATATTCCAAAAATATTCTGTATTTATTGTAATAACGATAATATCTCTAGGAATGGGAGACTGTTCCATTCGGTGGTGCGGGAAAAACAGCAAAACATCTGGTTGCAAAACTAACGGAATCGCATTTCATAGGTAATTAAATATGCAATTTTCCACTTTTCGTCCATTATAGCAAAGCTCAAATTAAACTGGTCGATTTGAATTGAAACAATTGACGACACCTGACAATTGTTTCGAATTCAGGCTGGCCAATCGGAGAGCAGTTGTCCCCGTAATAATTTGGCAGAATAGTTTTCAAACAAATTAAATGACATTTCGTCTCTATTTCTGGTTATAAACTTGAAGGTGCAATACGATGAAATTTGGCATCTGTCATCGCAACGTAATTAGGGATGTGGATCAACAAATCGGTAATCAGATTAACCGATTTCAGCGATGTGTTTGTTTAGATTGTTTTTAGATTCATTGGTTTGAAATTTTTGGACAGAACAATTAACATAATGAATGTTAGAGAGTTTAACTTAAATAAAAATAATTTAAAATAATATCCGCTCACGCGATGCGCTCCTCCTACTGCAAAATGGCGGCTATTTGGTTTCGCAAATTAGAAAAGCATTCAGTTTAAATACAAGTTTTTATAAATAAAAATTATTATTCTGCATTGCTAAATAAATGCCCTCCGTACTACCATCAAAAACATCTCAAATAAAATGCAGTAATACACCGCAAATCCTGCACTTAAAAAGCACTAATGAAATTTTTGGTGTACTTGGATAAATATGATAATATTCCGTTTGAGTGGTTCTAACGTTTACCATGAAATTACTCCTTAAAGTATAGTTTATAAACATTTATATTCAGGGTAAACTTAAAAAACGCTACTTACGGTATGTTTTCATTAAATAAACACCGAAATCACCAGCCCAAACATTAACACACACGATTATCGTGACGTATTTTTGAAGTTGTTTATTTTTTTTAAATGACAGACCCAGGCATTAAAAACTTTATGGTTTGCTAGAGTAGTTACCGAAATAGCAATTAATGTTAGTTCTTTTACCTGTTATAACTTTGATATACGATAAATCGGTATAAAATCATCACCGGCACCTCTAGGTATGGTATGCGTTTACGGCTGCATGTATCGCGTGAGCGGATATACCGATTACGTGTAGGTAGTTACATAACAGACTTTACAAGGACAACCTGTTCCATTGTGTCATGGCTGTCAAAACAGGTCTATTACATTTTGACAACTATAAAACTTAGGCTTAACTCACACTGGCGCAGAGTTGAAGCGTCGCGACGTGTCATATTTTTCGCCTATAGCATATTCATCTTTATTTTCCCATTATTAAGGTATAAATTTGTGTTATGCAAATATGAAGTGGAGTAGAATATGGAGCGACGACCACACTGTAATCCGGGCACACTCATGACGCGACGTAACGCTTCGACTCTGTGCCAGTATCAGTTAAGCCTTGTAGTAGCAATGTTTAAATTGTCACTATAGGTACTTATTTTTTTGAACATTAAGCAGAAGGAAATTTTGGGTCTTTTATCAGGCGCCATTTCATTAATTCATGTTATGAATACTGGAAAACGATCGAACTTGCAACTCACGACGCGTAAGGCAACCGCATCAGCCACTCGACCAGTACGACGTTTCTTGCAGCGGTGAATTTAACCGTTTGTTTCAAATTTCAAACAGGGTCCAACATCCAATTTGCCATTTCAAATGTTAAGTACCCACGTAACTGACAAATATTTATTGAAATGTTTAAAATAAACACATTTCACTTAACTAATCTTTGCAGATATTGACTATTACATTTAATATTAGCTGTTGAAATGATTTTGTCACAGAATTACACAGAGTTAACGTCTATTTTTAAATGAAACAGTCAGAAACTTTGGTATATTATTTTGAGTTATTTACTAAATAAAAAGTTTACAAACACCTGCACATAATATTTGTGTGTATACCTTTGTTTTTAACTGATTGTCGAAGTTAATTACTCACTTTTAATAATTTTGATATAGTAATTTAATATAGTAAAATTTAATATAGTAATTCGGATTGTTTACTTCACGACGCCCTTTGGCGGCCTCATTTACTACGAACACATTTACTATCTTTATGTAATATTACGTTTTTTTGTATTCACGAAAAATTAAATTAAAAATGTCTAAAAACCTTTATATACTTAATCTATTTCAAAGACTCGCACTATAAAAAACTTAAGGAAACAGAGGTTCTAGACATGAACGGTTTTTTAAAATAAATTATTCGTACCATTTGCAAGTCTCATTTGTCATCAATTATTTACGATCAGTCTCGTGGTTTATTAGATGTTTTTTGTAATTGTAAAACACGATTTTAAAAATTCTACAAAAAAATAATACGAATATGCATAATATAATATTCTGTTAACAGGGTTCCATTCCTTAAGCTGCAAATTATCTATTACGTCGTAGGACCTATTTTTTGTATATCTTTCAATGAAAAGTTTTTGTTCACGTACGAGTACCTCGTCGGAAATGTTACAATATAAGCAGTAAACAAACAGTTTAATTCAATGGTTTATTCATAATACGGTGTAAAATGTGATAATAAATCGTAAGTATTAGAATTAGAGTCCAAAATTACAGTAAATTGTATTTAATTATATGTGTATTTACCATGAATTTATTAATTACATTTTTGGTGCTTACAACTATTTTTTTAAGATGCAGGTAATTCAAAGTGGATATGACAAATATAAGTTTACTTTTATGAATTTATTAAAATCATCGAATGTATAACCAGAAATAGGAATACGAAATGTCGAAGAAATGGGAAGAAATAATTGCCCATGGTCTATCCAGGTGGAAATAGGTTACTCACGGGAAGAAATAATTGCCCGTGGTCCACTCAGGTGAACCAGTCAGGTGGTCCACGGGCAAGAAGTGCATTTAATTTGCTAGAAAACTGTTCTTCCACATGTCGGCCATGTCATTACGGTGACAACTGCGCTTCAATTGTCCAGTCCGAATTCGAAACAATTGATGGGTGTCGTCAATTGTTTCACTTTAAATCGACCAGTTAACTTGAGCTTTGCTATAATGGACCAAAATTGAAAAATGATATAATTTAGTATTTAATTTCCGATAAAATGTGACTCCATTTGTTTCGTAATTAGATGTTTTGCTGTTGTTCCCACATCACCCAATGGTACAGCCCCCCATTGTTAGAGATATTATCGTTATTACAACACATACAGAATATTTTTGGAATGTACGGAGACGTACACGCAGGTCAGTTGTTGGCGCTGTACTATTTCAGCTTTCTAATTTGTGATTTCAGCGCAAACGAGAGTTGATATTTAAAAGTGATATCAGTACCATTTGCCTGATGAGTTGCCAGGGATGGATGACCCTCATTTCGTCTCTATTTCTGGTTATATACTCGATGATATAAAATACAACCCTCTGGAACTTTATTGCACTAATGAGAAAAGAAACAATCACAGATACAAAATTATCATAATAGTTTTTTTCTATTTCTGTACTTTAATCTGTCAATTATCATTGCAAGATTCTATTATCTATGGTACTCGCTATTACACATACAAAAATTTAATGAGTTTCAAAAAAAGAACGTCGCTAATTAAAAGAATCTCCATTAATTCGTCACTGTGTTCCTGAACAGTGATAACGTTTCTATATTTGTGAAACGATTAAAATTATTTTATTAAGTAATATAACCATTTGGCAAAAACGAACTATTTAAAAACAATATAAAATATCAAATATAACGCTACATAAACGCTCTACTGCATCCTGATTGGTTAAAATATAAGCGGTACTTGGCCAATCGCGGACACTTCTATTCTCTGTAGTTTTTTGTTTTGTAGCGTTTGTTTCGTTACCTAAACACGATAGTCGACTTTAAGAACTCTCATTATGCAACGATTGCATAAAATACTATATTCTCAATGCTTTTGCAAAAAAGTAACACTAATTAGAATATTCGTGGCTATTTAAGGTCAGAAGAGTGAATAGGCTATTTTAGATTTACGCGTACCATCGTCGGTTATCGATCTTGTTAGAAAATTATTATAGCTGAGGAAATGTGTGTAATCACACTTACTCTGTGCTATGTTCAGGAAGACACAGGAACCACCGTAGATACAAAGAGAACATGATATTCCGGGGAAGCAAAGACGTGAGACTAGAAAGTTTACAAGAAGATTGATAAACATAAATTTAGAAAACGCTTTGGTTTATATCTTTTTTATTTTAACATAATAAATGAGCTCACTTATACAATACCAATGAACTACTTTTATTATTTTTTTAATTTACATTTTCGCCCTATTCCCGGTATATCGTGATAAAACTTTGCACAAAAAGATGCATATGATAATTTTACCATATTTTTACTAAGACATATTTCTATTCGGTCAGATTGTTATTTCGTCACATAGGTACAGTTAATTTGATCATAAACCCCGGACGTAAAAAGAGAAGCCAGGTTTCCTACTATTTCCTTATCTTAACATAATGCTTAAGCGATATCGTGACCAACTAATTGACGGACAAAGTACAGCGGTAGTACGCAATGTAGATTGTGGCGAAGTTACAATACGCAACTAACTTCAGTGTTA